AACACGCCGCGAGCAGCAGAGTTTCAGTTTGTCTCCTTCATCCCCCGAGCTAGGGTTTGCGATGCGGAGTCTTGTGGGATCCTTTTCCTGTTGCGAAGCTGGATTGCGGGCGCGTGCTTGTCTGCCTTTCTTGTCCCCTTCTCATCTAATTGCATTTTATCCCTTCGCGTTTCCCTTCTTTGTCTCCGGGCCAGTTTTGTCCCTTTTCTGGTCCTCGTCATGGCTCCCTTGACGACTCGGGAGACGGATCGCAGGACCTGCCCCTGCCCTGTTCTGATCTGTGGTATGTTTCTCCTTTGTCTTTGCTTGATTCTTGTCTCTTTTGCTGTCTCTCTTTCCTTGGCACCTGCGTCGTAGGACGCTCCCTCCGTCCCTGTCTCGTTTCTTGTCTCCCCTGCAAACAGGATTTAGCAGGATCGTGCGATGCCTTCAACGCTTGCATTGACTACAGCTTGACCTCAATTGCTAATTCGCAACGCACTACAGTCCGCGAGCATCCCTGGCAGTGTGGAAACGTTGGCTTTGCGTTGGCTTTTCAGAGTGAGTTTGGGGCTAGCTCGATCCCTGCAAAGCCCCCTGAAGGCAGGGTTCCTTCCCAAAAAAGTTCCCCTAAACTCTAAACCTTGGAACGTTCCCCCTTGTACTAGCAGTCCTGAATCGGGATTATAATATTGAATAGGGGGTACTAGAATCCCGATTATAAAGGGGGACATCCCAACCTACACCCCTAAGCCTCAGTCTTGCAGATGGATATTCTGGGACCCTAAACCTTAAACTGCCCGAAACCCTAAACCCCTAAACTTCATGCTTACGGGGTGGATATCCTGGGATGTGGGTGGCTGAGGCCGCCGGCATCCACGCGGGCACGGCGACGCACGCGAAGCTTCTCCAACGAGCCGCAGGAGATGTCCGCCCCTCACTTCCCAAAGAGTGTCGGTACGAAGGGTTTAGAGGGCTTAGGGCTTAGGGTTTAGGGTTTAGGGTTTAGGGCTTAGGGCTTAGGGCTTAGGGCTTTAGGGTTTAGGGTTTAGGGTTTAGGGCTTAGGGTTTAGGGTTTAGGGCAAGAGCATCGGCAACTCTCAGAGATTGCCGCAGTTACGAAGAAAGACGTTGTCGCAGCTTTGTCCTGAACTCAAGACCGCTGGAAACCCTCAAAGCCAGCCGAGCAGAAACGGAGGACGGCAACTTTTCCCCTCTACTCTGAGCCTCTGACTTCCAACATCCAAGCGACGAAAATCTCTGAAGCAAGAGACTAAAAGGCCTGCGATGCCCGCCCTGCAGCGGCATCGCACTCGCAGCTCTTCCGGTGAGGCGGCGCAAGCGCTCGGGCCCCTGCCGTAGGCCAAAGCAAAGGTTTGCAAAACTGGAGAATTTAGGTGCGTGTTGGGGGCTGAAAGATGAGTTGTGAAAGCTAAGTGCTTACAGTTACTCGACGCGGCTTCTCGCATCTTGCATCCTGCACAGAAAGCCCTAGAGGCCCTAAAGCCTAAGGCCATCCAGCGTTCCTGTGCCCCGGCAGCGGACGCGAAGCTTCTCCAGCGAGGTACCGCCGATGCCGGGAGCCTCGCAGCAGACGGGACCCGTTTGCGGGAACCTCTTCAACAAACAGCTTTGGCAGTTCCCAGAGACTCCAAAACCCCTTAATGAAAAGAATATACCCTAACATATCATGGTTCCTGTTATAGTTTAAGGGATATACCTGAATTAAGGGGTTTTGGAGTCTCTGGGCTTATTTCGGTATTTGATTGTCGCGAGAATCAAATCGTGGTGCCTGGAAGAGTCTTGGTTGTAGCTGTTGTTAGACCTTGGGGGTATGTATGTGGGGCGGCCCTGACCCTTGGTGGATTCTTGTAGCGATTAAGGTTTAGGGTTTAGGGCTTATTGGCGGTGAGATTCTACAGAGGACCCCTAAACCCTATAAAGCCCAAACCCTAAACCCTGTAACATGTAGGATCTAGGGTTGAGGGTTTAGGGTTTCTTATAGCCCTAAGCCCTACACCCGGTTTTCTGAACCCTCAGCCCTACACCCCCCCCTCAACGAGGCCACTGTCCATGCCACAGCGGGAGCGCACCCGAAGCCTGTCGGGTGAGAGGCCTCAACTGCTTGAGTCCCAGCTGCTTTGCCGCTGTTTGCCTGCCGCGGGCAAAGTGCACATGATACGTAATTTTATTCATGGAATATGCGAATAAAGTATATAACAACAAAAGAATACTTGTCTCATAATGTACTAATGTATTCTTCTAATATTATCCGATATGTGTACGTTGATTAATCCGGCAATCTGAAACTTCTAAGCCCTGCAGAGCCCATCCCAAATTGAAGCCTCGGCAAAGTCCGAGGTCTGGAGCCATGCCAGCCAGACAGCGTAGCTCTTCAAGCGAGGCTTTGCCCAGGATGGGCCCTTGCCTGTCAGGGGGGCTTGTAGATGGCGTCTGTTTTTTTTTTTTTGTTGTGTGTGTGTGTGCGCCACCTGCTTTCGCAGTAGGCAAGTGCAGATGCCTCCTTGCACACGCGCCAGTGTGCACGTCGAAAGGGCACATCTCAGCTTCCAAGATGCAAAATGAGACCCCATGAAGTAGGGCACCAGCAAGCCATTCCAAGCAGCTCACCACGTGAAGGGGTCGCAAACGGCCACTGTCTAGCTTTGCCACCTACACCAAAACCCCAGCTCGAGGTCGCAGCCGCCACTTCGATATATAAAGTCAGAGAACACCAAACTACATCCCCCTTTGGAAATTATTTCATATTTTTGCTTATATGAAACCCAAGAGACCCAAGAGGATATTGAAAAATATTTTCTTTTTTAAGGTTGTATAGCAAAGCCAGGAGCTGACCCACCCAGGTAGCAAAGCTTCTCATGCCAGGGTGTGGCTTGAAGTTGTCATCCAGGGGACAAGAACTGCCTGTAACTGAGTGATCAGGGCTTAGGGGCTTGGGGCTTAGGGTTTAGGTTTGCAAGAGGGCCTTTGTCTTCCAATCTACGAAGAAGGACCAATGACACCATGCCACGGCAACGCACGCGGAGCTCCTCCGGCGGGCCTCGGACTCGTGAGTCCGTGAGCTATTTGGGTAATTCTCTAAATTCAGGTCTCTTTTGGGACCCTTTTTGTTTTAGGCTACCGTACTATGTAGGCCCCCAAAAGGGGCCCTACTTTCGAGAACTGCCCATGTCAGTCTCAAGGCTACAAGGGCTCAGACGAAGCGGTTTGGCATCTGCAACTTCGGAGTGTGGAGTTTACTGTTTGGCTCATGAGTCGTTTAGGGTTTAGGGTTTAGGGTTTAGGGTTTAGGGGTCAGAGTGCCTGTTTTCATGGGGCTTCACAGCTGGCCTTCTGGCCGACGTCCGGCTCGCGGTTGACTGGTTCTCACTAGAGGCCGCTCTCAAGCTGTTGGTGGCATCCCAATGTGTTCAGGTGCAGGTCATGAGCCGAGGATTCATGGGACAATATGTAGTTATCCGGTGGTACTCCCCTACTCCCCTCTCGGCTGTATATCGTGTCACGCTAGCTCACATCCCTGTGACTGTGAGGTTCGCGGAGCAACGACAGGCAGCGCATGATCATGTGTCAGCCAAAGACATCTCGCCTCTGCTGCAACGAAGAGGATCCCTTGAAGGTGAAATGACAGAAGCCTTTGATGCCCCTCTCACTTCCAGCCATTTGTAGATATGTGTAGTACTCAAGGTCCCCGGCCGTTGTCCGGTGGCATGCCCAGACTTATCGGATTCATTTTTCATGCGCCGCCCAAGCAAGGCCGCAAAACATGATATATCGTAGCCTACCAAAACGACGCGGCACATGTTAAGCCACGGACTTGAATCTGGGGTCCTGATTTTTTAAGGGTGCCGTACTATTTAGGGGGCCCAAAAAGGGACCCCAATGTAGAGATCTGCCATGATCTACCCATACTCTATTGGGGGTTGATTTACTTGGGGTTCCTGCTAAACCCTAAACCCTAAACCCTTATGATGGTGGCATCTGAAAGAACTCATGGCAGGGTTGGCACATCGAAGAGGAGCGCATGGAGAGGCGATTTGGTTACCTCCAACGTCTTGGGTTTAGGGTTTAGGGTTTAGGTTTCAAGGTCGAATAGGTTTGAACCTATGGATCATGGATAGGTTCTCACGGTCGTACGAGGTAGATTCAGAGAGTGGGCATCTGGTATGGACGACTTCTGGGCTGATTCTAGACGTCGTACTGCATAGTGTCTACACTGACCTCCCTGCACTTAGAACAAGCGAGGTAGCTTGCGAGAATGGCCTAGGAGCAAGAACAACTCTTCTCCATGCACAGTAATGCAGTGATGGTAGCTCTGTTGAATTACAAAATTCAGCTCCTATGATAGGATGGCAGTTTGCTCGCCCTTTGTGTTGCATATGTTCTTTTTTGTCTAGGCCTTGCCTTCATTTGCTGCCTGCCGTTTCTACTTGTTCTTCTGATTCGGGCACTCTGGGTTTGCCTCTTCATGCATGCTGACTCTTTTGTTTACCCTTTTGAGTTTTTCTTTTGTGCATTCTGTTTGCCTTGCTTTGTTTTGTTCGGGGTCCCTTAAGCCAAAAGCCTAGTACTTTTTATGGCCGAAGAGATGTTACATCAAAGCGCAGTGCCCTACTCTAGCCAATGCCGAACAATTACACTGGCATCAACGTGAGGAAGACACTGTTGCAAATGGGGCCGAAAGCCGAGGCGAACACTTGCCGGTGGAATCCCCTATATTGGAGTGGCCACACTGTCTGGGGAAAAGAAAACGCAGCACACACGACAGCAAGGGGCTAGCGGCGATGACTAAAGGAAATGCACCGCCAGGTACAGATCCGTGTTCGTGCGCGCTGATCTCGATGGAGACGGCTTTGTCGAAATGGTGCAGGCCCCCCAAATGCTTCCAAATCTGCTATTCTCCATGCCTGGGCTGGAAGGCACAGCAAGCGCTGCAGAAGGCAAACCTCGCAGAGGACAGCACATGACTCTGCCTCACATTGCTGTGGATTGTTGTGGGCTGGATGGAGAATCGGAGCGCTCGGTGGAAGGGTCTGGCAGATCAATTTGTTTCTATCACATTCCTACTTAGTAGTGCTCGACATAGTGGCTCAGCACTGACAAGCGTGATCCGGCAGGACGATATGGGCAAGATACTGGCCGTGTGTGACGTGGACAAGGACCCGTGGCATGAAAGTTCTTGGGATCAGCCAGGAGCCACAACCCAGGTAACTGGAGGCAACCGTGAAGTCATGCACTGCGAGAGCTTGAGTTCTTCACCACGGCCCCCGTTAAACCCCCGAAGGCTCGCGAACGTGGAGCTGGGCGAAGAGGGAGGGTTCAGAGGCCGCAGTGAACCACCGATTCTTGAAATCTAAGGGTAGTTTCATGGGCCCTGAATATGGTCCCTAACCCTCCTTTTCAGGGTTCTGCTGCATGGGCTACCCTCAGAAAGGACGGTCGTTTCAATCGCGGCGAGTTTGTGTGCGCACTGCACTTGGCCTATCTGCGGAGCAAGGAGGCGGTGGCTTTATGGGGGCATCTTGATTGGGCTGTTCCCCCTTTATGCTAGCAGTCCTCAAGAGAGATTATAATGGGGACTACTATAACTTATAGTAGCCCTTATTCTGATCTCTATTAATCCCTACTAAGGAGCTGTTAGTAGAAGGGGGAGCCTCCCAAAGGCATATGGATTGGGCAGTGATTGGGCAGCCACTGACTACAGTTTGGCATAAGTCGGCTGTAGGCAGTTGAGGCTCGAGGGCAGGCCGAGGCAGCGTTGCCACGGTGTAGAGTTGGTTCAAGATTTTGGGGGTTTACGAAAATTCGGGACCCCCCTAAAAATGGACCCCAGTTTGTAGGATTCCCTTGTGTTAAGGACCAAAAAAGGTACCCCTCATCTCGGAAACCCCCCTTTTGGGTACGTCCAGTCGAGAAACGTGCTGCAAATTGAGTTCTACATGCGGCTCTTTCATGGCGCAGCCCAGGCTTGCAACCTCACTTGAAAGAGGGCATATGTTACTGTTGTTGGAGAGTGTATACAAGGTTCCTTTTTAGTCTTGGTGAGTGTATATCAACCCTAACTGCCCCATAGCCTCTCGGACCTGAGTTGGTTCTCAACACAGCCCCCTAAACCCTCAACCCTCAACCCTCAACCCTCAACCCTAAACCCTAAACCCTAAACCCTAAACCCTAAACCCTAACCTGCGGCGTCTCGAGAATTTTTTGCTCAAGCTTGGAGCTCAGTAGAGTGGCTTGGGTCGGCGGAGGCGCGCCTGATCGTCTCCGCTTGCACTACTAGTTGCTTAAGAACCCCCCCCCCCCCCCCCCAAAAAAATGAAGAAAGGGTTCCTTATGAGGGCAATGTAGGGATGATTATATTTTATATGTTTTTTGGGGGGTTCTGAAGCAAATAGTAGTACATGGTGGAAAGCTGGGGTGCCATCTTTTCTTCAAGGGTGACTGGTGGGAGCAGCAGAGGTTTTAGGGCTTGGCTCCAGGAACAGGTTTGCTTGAACGTGCAGAGCTTTCATCGCCGTTGCCCCTAGAACAGAAGCCCGCGAAAAAACAAAAAAAGTGGGCTCTGTCCCATGGGCTGTAAGCAAGTAGGGGAGCCCTTGGAACTCTGTACATCCTAAACCTAAACCCTGAACCCTAAACCCTAAACCCTAAACCCTAAACCCTAAACCCTAAACCCTAAACCCTAAACCCACCCACTAATCCTCATGAATCAATGGGACGTCAGGGCGGCTGATGAGTAAAGGCCTTCTGGCGTGCAACCCTTTCCGAGAGGCCAGCCTTGGATAGTTGAACTTGAGTTCTGAGGATTGAGGCTTTAGGATGTAGGGTGTAGGGTTTAGGGTTTAGTCTTTTTGATGGTTTTGCCGACAGGATTTGGGATTTGGAGGCTCACAAGTAGGAGGTGCTGGGGGAACCCCGGGGTACAAAGTTGAAGGTTCGAGGATTGCTGAGCTCGGCGCTTCTCGCAGGATTGCCTAACTCGGTGACTGGAAGCTTGTCTGTACATGTCTGAGTGCTCTTGGGTGGCCTCACTTCCACCGCTCCCCAAAGCCCTAAACTAAACCCAAACAACCATACAAACTCCCCAACCCTGAACCCCAAACCCCACAAAGCCCCAACCCTAAACCCCAAACCCTACAAACCCCCAACCCTGAACCTTCTTGCCCTTTCCAACCCTGAACCCTTCTTGCCCTTCTTCGAAGCCCTAAGCCCTTCTTGCGCTTGTTCGAATCCCTAAGCCCTAAGCCATAAGCCCTAAACCCTAAACCCTAAACCCCCAAACCCTAAGCCACAAAGCTTTGCAGGTATGTTGCTCCAACAATGCAGCGGAGCACTCCGACGACACTCGGTTGGAATCAGCAGCATCTCGGGTTTAGGGCTTAGGGTTTAGGGTTTAGGGTTTAGGGTTTAGGGTTCAGGGTTTAGGGTTTAGGGAACTCCCTACAAGAGGGAGGACTCTTCACGAGAGGACTCATGGTTCCTTGATGCAACTGAACGAAAAACGAGGCTGGGAGAGGGAAGCAACAACTCTGAGGCCGAGGGAACACGGAGAGCACAGTGCGAAGAGGTGCGTTTCGCAACCTATGTTTCTTAAGTTGAATTTTGGGTTTTTTAACGTTAAAAAAACCCTAAATGTTTCTTACGTTGAGTTTTGTCTAAGTGTGAAGGTGTTCGACAGCGCCCTTTTCTGAAGCTTGCTTCCTCACCGAGGTCTACGATGGCGCTCAGGGGCAGAACATTGTTTACAATGAGGAGGACTGCGGCACAGCGACACATGCACCTGACAAATGCCGTACCTGTGAAGCTGAAGGAGCAGGAGATAGCAAAAGAGTGTTGCAAGGAGCATTGGCCTTCCATCTTGACACTGCCTGGGTGCTAACTTTGACACCGCAGTTGCCTCGAAGGACGTGGCCCCAGCACCGCAGATTGCAGACATCCAAGGACTGCCAATGTCATGCAGTGATACATCCCTAAACCCGAAACCCCAAACCCTAAACCCTGTGGGCTGCCAACTCCGAACTCGCTTGGACCCTGGCTCACTCGTCGTGTCAGGGGGCGCGCACTTGAAACGATCCGGGTTTTGCAGACATCCCTTAGACAGAGCCTCGACTCTGGCTGTCTGAAGCTCTATATCGTGACGCCCCTAAACCCTATGAACCCTATAAACCCTACAAACCCCATAAAGCGTACAAACCCTTCAACCCTGTAAGCCCTATAATCCCTATAAACCCTCTTGACCCTATCAAACCCTATCAAGCCCTTTAAACACCTATGAACCCTATAAACCCTTCACCCTAAGCTCTTTAAAAAGCATCTCTGAAGATAGCAGCTCCGGGAGGAAAGGCCAAGGCCCAATCAAGCGAGCTGGTCGAGAAGCTTTGGCTTGTCTTAGCAACGCTGGGGCGAGGTTTAGGGTTTAGGGTTTAGGGTTTAGGGTTTAGGGTTTAGGGTTTAGGGTTTAGGGTTTAGGGTTTAGGGTTTAGGTTCTAGGGTTAGCTGTGACAGGGCGCAGAAGCTGTGAAGGTTGGCGTGAATTGCGAAGAGCAGCCATGGCCCGATAGTGGAGGGCCGTCTAACATCTTTATCCCACCCCACGCCGTCTCAGGCGGCAAAACCACCCAAACCTATTCCTTTGAAGGTTTAGGCCTAAACTCAAGTCAACAGCCCACCTCAAAGCCTCTTCCGTTCAAGGGGGTCGCATCAGGGGGTTGTAAGAGGGTCCGAGTCCCAGGGGATTCCAGACAGGCTCAGATTGGTCTGGGTTTTCAGACGGGAGTCAAAGGGGTCCCAGGTGGGTCGAAAGGGCCTATCGCGTGTTTTTGGGGGTCGTGGAGTGACAAGGTTGCTGGGCAAACGGGGTCAGTTTCTCGGAAGTGCGGATGAGCATAATTGGCAAGGCACCAGTTGAACTCTAACCTGTTGGGGTTTCCTAACTTTGGAGAGAATGCGAGTTCTCCTTTTGGCTCCTGGTTGAACTCGAGCTCGCAAAGCACCAGGGTCATAAGACATCCTTTGACTTGAGCATGATGTGAACCCACTGCCGCCGAGGAAGCCTGAAATGGAGGTCGAGGGCGGCGCCCGTTACAAGGGCCAGTGGAAAGGGAACATGAGGCGGGCGACGGGACTACCAAGGAGAGCCATGCTGAACGGGGCCTAGGAGCTTTTGTATTCAGATGCAATGCAATACCTCGTGAGAGTTCGCCATACGGTTCTCTCCACCTCCTACAAGGGCTGCTGACAGCACTGCCCGTCTTGGAGGCATGGTCATGGTGTGCTCACGCGCGCCGACGGCCATCGTTCCCTGGCGAGTAACCGAGCTTCCCCAGTTTTGTTCCTGATGATACCCCGTAATTTGCCCCTATTGGAGTTTCAGCAGCGATCATCTGAATCGTTCAGCCGCTTTCAGCGGCGGCTATGACACAAAAATGCACAGCTTAGGGTTTTAGACTTAGTCATGTCAGGCCTCGCAGGCTAGAGAGACACTGTACTGGTGTCTCTTGTGGTGTTCGGTTTGTCTCAAAAACCCTAAACCCTAAACCCTAAACCCTAAACCCTAAACCCTAAACCCTAAACCCTAAACCCTAAACCCACTCGTCCTGGTTCTTCAACGTGCCAAGGCTACGAGGGCGCTTGGCTCGAGAACCGAGCCCACGGCCATGGTCACTTGGGGGGATGAACCCTAAACCCTACACCGAAAACCCTAAACCCTAAACCCTAAACCCTTGGTGGACTCGTGCTTGGAGATGTTTTTTCAGTCACGGTCGCGTGTTGAGATTTTGGGTCACAACCTTCTCGTCTTAGCTTCAACGTGATGTGGCGCTCAGTTGCGTGCAAAATGCCGGAGCGATGGTAGCTTGCTGGGCTTCGAATAGGCCGGTGCACTGTGATGATTTCTGCAGATAGGCTCGCGTGTGATCAGAACCTGCTAGACTCCTGCTAGACAGCTCCAGCACACGGAGGCGCGCGTTCTTTCGTCAGCAGATGTAGGGCAGGGCTTCAGAGAATCCTGCTCTGCAACAGCATGTCCCTGCACTTGCAGACTTGCATCCAAGGCACCTTCACCGAAGCCTCAGGCACCTCCTACGAAGGCCAGCAGAGATTCGCAATTTCCGAGTTGCATTGGGGAAGCCCTGCCTTCCACACCAGGTCAGTGGCATCAAGACCAGAAGCATGGATATGGAAAGCCGCCTTGCGGCAGTTTCCAGGAAGATGTCCCAACATGAAGTAGACTCAGGGAACGCTGGCACGGCGCATGGAAGAGTGGAATCTTATACAAGTTGAGTGGAGAGCTTCCCTCCATGCAGTAGAGGCAGCAGAGTCTTCCTGGAACCCCCATACGCCTCGGAAAGGATGGCGG